TCTCCGCGCTGTTGTCGCCCTGTTGATGACGTCAGCGACGCGGTTTAGTCGGGCGCGGTTTAGTCGAGCGCGGTTTTGTCGGTGAACCTCGGAGAACAGCTTGACTCCCTCTTCTTTGTGGCAACCCCTGAGATATTGGACCACTGCTATCATGTAATCCAGGGGTATCAAACTTGCATCATCATGACGGCACCCTGTGACATATCAGGACTTTCCCCTCCTTCGCTAAACCAGGCAGGGCCAGGGCCAGCACATGATGCATCTGGCCCACGGCCCATGGGTTTGACACCCCTGATGTAATCCTTCTCTTCACTAGACTAGCCTTGCCCAGTTCTTGCAACTGTTCGTCATATGTTTTAGCCTCCAGCCTCCTAATCATCATGGTTGCTCTTCTCTGCACCCTTTCTAGATTCTACTAGAGCATTGTGGTGATCAAAACAGGATTGGTTTTTTTCTTCAGTCCAATCTATCCCTTGAAGTCTATTCCTGTCCTTTTTGGTTCTTGTACCAACCCAGACATTTCACTGGGGAAACAGATGCAGCCTGTTCTGACCGAGGCTTCCTAAGAGCATGAAGCAAACTCCTGATCCCAACAAAAACACCTTTTATGAATTTACTGTAAATTCTGCTCATTCACATCCAGCAAAGACTTTCAAGGGAGGATTTACAGTCACAGACCTTATCTGGCTTGGAGAGCTGACAGGCCGATACCTGGAATACTTGTCAAGGATTCTCGGAGAGTCACAAACAAATTAAGCGAATTAATTGTCTCCTGCAAACTCCACTCCTCTTTTATTTCCTCTGGGAAGGGCCATTCATCGTCCACCTGTGGCCTTACTCACAAGTCAACCCGTTCTTTAGCTGTTCCCTTCATCTGGCAACTCTGCGCATGTACACACTGGGAACAGGCTCCAGCTGTTCATCTGCCTCACTGATGTCTGACTCCGAAGGCATCTGATAACTGGCATACGGCTCTGCCTCTCTCTGCCTCCAACACAGAGCCCTCATCAAAGCCTTCCCCTGACTCCAGGAGTGGCCCATGTTCCCCCACAACCTCCTCACTGTCTGAATCTGCTACCAGCTCCGCTGTTGGGCCACAACACAACCTACAAACCGTAGGTTAGCAAAAGCTGGCATAAAAGGAATCTTGATTTTGTCTGTGAGCTTTACATTTTGGAATAATGTGAAACCTAGCAATGTGGGGGTGAGTCCAACAACTGAAAGCATGCTGGGGTGGGACAAGCCAAATATGTACAAATGCATACATCTCTTAATTCAGCACAAACAGTGGATCATGCCCTGTGCATCAAATTATGCTCTTGTCAGTAGAGATGGGTGAAATATAGGATTGAATGCCAATTTATTTATTTATGGGCTTGTTTGCTTACTGCTCCAATCCAGCAGCACTGGATATATAGATAAAGAAGGAGAGAAGAAAGAGAAGAAAGGGGGGTAGGAAGGAGGGAGGGAAGGAGGGAGAGAAGCAAGGAGGGAAGGAAGGAGGAAAGGAAGGAGAGAAGGAGAGAAGAAAGGAGGGAATGTAGGAGAGAAGGAAGGGGGGAAGGAAGGAGGAAAGGAAGGAGGAAAGGAAGGAGAGAAGGAGAGAAGAAAGGAGNTTAGGGGGGTTAGGTTTAGGTTTAGGGATTAATTTTAGGTTTAGGGTTTACAGCGTGCTTCTATCTCCGCGCTGTTGTCGCCCTGTTGATGACGTCAGCGACGCGGTTTAGTCAGGCGCGGTTTAGTCGAGCGCGGTTTTGTCGGTGAACCGTTTGAATCTGCCAAGGAAAACGTGGAGGTGAGTATTGGTCAGGATCAGGGCTCTGGGCTTGGAGAACACTACCCTTATAGTCCTCAGCTGGGAGGGAAGTGGGCTGCAGTAAGTTGGCCTGGGGGCATCTAGGTATGGGACAGGAGTAGCTGCCACCTATTAGCAATGTGGAGGAGGTGGAGTCCACACCTCCTTCCCATCCAAGGACACGTAGAGCAGAGAGGAGGCAGACACAGCGTTGGTCAGCTAGATTGCCTGCGAGGAGGCAACCTCGCCTGCACCAGTGTTGCCTACTTAATTCCAACCTGAGAATTTGAGTGTTGATGGAGCAACTTGCCCAGTTCCATACCTTTTGGGTTCATGCTATGTATCCTGGCTTATTTGACTCCTGGATGTTGTGTGTGCCCATTGGACCTGGTTACTCTGTGAAACATGGTTTGCTGAGCATGGAATCCAGGCCTATGCAATGGAGGTGCTTTTGGGGAGATATGAATAAATGCCTGTAGAAGTCTTGCCATACGAGTGACGGTGAAGGGAGTGGGGTCACAACAAGATCAGGGATGGTGTAATAAAATGTCATAATATAAAATTCACTTTAAATTTAATATGCTTTAAGTTGAAAGGATGTAATAATAGCTAGGCTTAATGGATGTTTAACAATTATATCAATTTGTATACAAGTATATTAGATTGATGATACTAATAATGGGGGGACAACAAAGAATTGAAAATTACTAGATAATGTTATCAATGCTGAGTGCTATGTACAACGTAATAACAGCTATAGTCCAATAAATGATTAATAATGATAAGAAAGCATTTATATATACTAGATTGATAATATGAAATCTTATATGAACTGTAAGTGAGGATTATGGAGATGATGTTGAAAAGCCATTTTATAAACAATTCTATATAGAATAGATTAGAAAGACATAGTATCATTGGATGATTTCAGGATAATTTAATAAAATGTTATAATATAAATGTATTTCAAATTTAATATGCCTTATGTTGAAAGGATGTACTGACAACTAGGCTTAATGGATGTTTGATAATTATATCAATTTGTACACAAGTATGTTAGATTGATGATACTAATAATGGGGGGAAAACATGGAATTGAAAATTACTAGTTAATGTTATCAATGCTAAAATAATAGAATGATGTCACAATAAATTTAGTTAAATATAGTTAAATTTTGAGTGCAACGTACAACGTAATAACAGCCGTAGTCAAATAAATGATTAATAATGATAACAAAGCATTTATATATACTAGATTGATAATATGAAATCTTATACAAACTGTAATACATCTCCATCTTATGGAGATGATGTTGAAAAGCCTTTTTATAAAAGATAAACAATTCTATATAGAAT